CGATAAATTCTTCATCGCCGAGGCTCACCTCGCCTTCGGAGAGAGGCATGTAATTGGCATCCTCTGATTCTCCGTCTGCTGCCTGTTCCTTAGGGATAGCTTGCCCATCCTCCCGCTCGAGGCCTGGCTGGAGGGGATTGTCTTCGTCTTCGGCGCTATCGGCAACATTATTGTCTCTTGTGACGGTATCTCCATTTTTGCTATGGCGGGGCTTAGAGCGGCGCCGTTGACGCCGGTGCTTAGATTGCTTCTCGAGGGGATTATCCTCTGTTGCCTTATTGCCATCGCTTTCTTTGGGGGTATCCACCATGTATATATCATATGATGAGGTGGCAGTCCAGCGCCCTGTGGGTGGTGGTTCATGTTCTTCTCCTACATCATCGTCCATACCATCGATGTCTTCAGAGCCGAAATCAAGCATGTCGGTTAAGTCGTCAACAGTGGCTATTAAGTGGGTGGTGGGTGGGGGATGAATTTCTTCGTCGTCCGCTTCCCACTCAAGCCGGACACGGTTCGGCCAAGGGCCTCCTGACAAGGAGAGAGACCTTAATGAATTTAGCACATGGCCCAAGGGCGGGTCCTGAAAGATATCCGCGGAGGAAAACTCCATGATCGACGCCCAATCAGATTCGATAGGCATGGATGCAGGCGGTTTGGAACCCGTGGCCGGGGACGAATCCAAGGACCCGGCAACACAGGTCTCATAGGAGGTGAAGCCAGTATTCGGATCTATCGCCGCTGAGTGTGCGGCCTCCGTGGCGGGGTCCATCCACCCGTCCTCGGACGGCGCGATCTATTCCGGATCGAGGGCTGGAGTTGCCACAGGTGTGATCTCCCGAACACTGTCCGGCGGCAGAGCTAAGTCATGCTCGTCGTGGCTATGCAGCGCACCTGACACGGGATCGAATCCGTCGAAGATCAAGTCTCCATGGATGTCGGCAGTATAGTTTAAGTTTCCAAACCTGACCTGACGGCCAGGGGCGTAGCTCTCGATCTGCTCCAGATGGCCAAGCGAGTTGGCCTGCAGTGCGAAGCCGCCGAATACGAAGATCTGTCCGGGGAGAAAAACCTCACCCTGGATCGCTTCGTTGCCGATGATCGAAGGAGCCATCAAGCCTTATGATGACGACACAGTGGAACTCTCAATGAAAGCACCAATGTCGGTGTCAAAACCGGCGGATCTCGGGTAGGGGGTCCCGAACTGTGCGTCTAAGGCGGATGGTAACAGGAGGCGGGGGACACAATGTTTACCCAGGGTCGTGCCCTCTCGATGGAGGTAATACCCTACTTCCTGCTTGATTGATCTTGATGATATGAGTATTACAAGAGTTGATCTACCATGAGATCGTAGAGGCTAAACCCTAGAAGCTAGCCTATGATTATGATTGTTCTCTTCCTACGGACTAAACCCTCCGGGTTATATAGACACCGGAGGGGGCTAGGGTTACACAGAGTCGGTTACAAGGGAGGAGATCTACATATCCGAATTGCCAAGCTTGCCTTCCACGCAAAGGAGAGTCCCACCCGGACACGGGACGAAGTCTTCAATCTTGTATCTTCATAGTCCAACAGTCCGGCCAAAGTATATAGTCCGGCAGTCCGAGGACCCCCTAATCCAGGACTCCCTCATGTAGCATGGAAGATATCGATATCTCTCGGTTGTTATGTTGATAATGAAAGTATACCGCTCAAAATATTATTCATATCTATTTCAAAACTGAGCTCTGGCACCTCTACAAATCCCTCCTTCCCTCTGCGAAGGGCTTATCCATTTACTTTTATGTTGAGTCATCATCCTTTTATTAAAAAGCACCAGTTGGAGAGCACCGCTGTCATTTGCATCCATTACTATTAGTTTACATTAAGTATGACTTGTCTGGATCTCTTTTACCATGAATTACAATGTATAATCAATCCTTGATCTTTAAAGGTGCTCTACATTTATGTTTTGCGGTCTCAGAAAGGGCTAGCGAGATGTCATCTTGTTATATCATATTTTTATTGTTTTGAGAAAGTGTTGTCATCTGAGATTTATTATTATTGCTCGCTAGTTGATTATGTCGTTAATATGAGTAAACATGAGACGTAAATGTTATTGTGAATATGGTTAGTTCATAATCTTTGCTGAAAACTTGAATGTTGGCTTTACATATTTACAACAACAAGAGCAAACAGAGTTTGTAAAAGTTTTTCTTTATCCCTTTCAGTTTATCAACTAAATTGCTTGAGGACAGGCAAAGGTTTAAGCTGGGGGGAGTTGATACGTCTCCGTTGTATCTACTTTTCCAAACACTTTTGCCCTTATTTTGGACTCTAACTTGCATGATTTGAATGAAACTAACCCGGACTGACGCTATTTTCAGCAGAATTGCCATGGTGTTATTTTTGTGCAGAAATAAAAGTTCTCGGAATGACCTGAAAATCAACGGAGATTATTTTTGGAATATATAAAAATACTGGAAGAAGAATCCACGTCAGGGGGCCCACACCCTGTCCACGAGGGTGGGGGCACGCCTACCCCCCTAGGCGCGCCCCCGGCCTCGTGGGCCCCCTAACGCTCCATCGACCTCAACTCCAACTCCGTATATTCACTTTCGTGGGGGGGGATCAGAGAGAAGGATTCATCGTGTTTTACGATATGGAGTCGCCGCCAAGCCCTAAACTCTCTCAGGAGGGCTGATCTGGAGTCCGTTCGGGGCTCCGGAGAGGGGAATCCGTCGCCATCGTCATCATCAACCTTCCCCCATCACCAATTTCATGATGCTCACCGTCGTGCGTGAGTAATTCCATCATCGGCTTGCTGGACGGTGATGGGTTGGATGAGATTTATCATGTAATCGAGTTAGTTTTGTTAGGGTTTGATCCCTACTATCCATTATGTTCTAAGATTGATGTTGTTATGACTTTGCTATGCTTAATGCTTGTCACTAGGGCCCGAGTGCCACGATTTCATATCTGAACCTATTATGTTTTCATGAATATATGCGAGTTCTTGATCCTATCTTGCAAGTCTATAGTCACCTATTATATGTTATGATATGTTATGATCCGTTAACCCCAAGATGACAATTATCGGGATACTTACCGGTGATGACCGTAGTTTGAGGAGTTCATGTATTCACTATGTGTTAATGCTTTGGTCCGGTACTCTATTAAAAGGAGACCTTAATATCCATTAGTTTCCAATAGGACCCCGCTGCCACAGGAGGGTAGGACAAAAGATGTCATGCAAGTTATTTTACATAAGCACGTATGACTATATTCGGAATACATGCCTACATTATATTGATGAACTGGAGCTAGTTCTATGTCACCCAATGTTATAACTATTGCATGAGGAATCGCATCCAACATAATTATCCATCACTGATCCAATGCATATGAGCTTTTCATATATTGTTGTTCACTTATTTACTTTTTCATTGCTACTGTTACAATCACTATATAACCAAAACTGCTACCGTTACTACTACTATCATATTACTTGCTACTAAATACCTTGCTGCAGATATTAAGTTTCCAGGTGTGGTTGAATTGACAACTCAGCTGCTAATACTTGAGAATATTCTTTGGCTTCCCTTGTGTCGAATCAATAAATTTGGGTTGAATACTCTACCCTCGAAAATTATTGCGATCCCTATACTTGTGGATTATCACCGAAGCACATCGAATGGGTGTTCTTCAAATGCGAAAACGGCGGGGTACGTGCACTTGCGGTAGCTCATTTGATAGCTCATTCTTTAGTTCAATTTGCGGATCCTCATTTCGAACATGGTCATTCTTTGTGTGGGACGATGGATGCTCATTTTGGTTTTGGGAAGACCAATACATTGATTTATTGATAGAAAGAAACTTAATAGATGTTGGTGCACTCGTTAGTATAATTGAAAGCGATGATGCGGCTGCATGTGCAACTAGAGGAGAAGCAACATTTATTTCTTTCGAATCAAAGATGAAGAAAGAAGAATGCAAAATCAAGAATCCATAGATCAACAACGAATGCATGGAGAAGATATTAGTTCAACTAGTGGGAACAGTTATGAAAGTTGAAAATCTTCTAAAATGCATACTTGTGGTTCTTGTTTTCTTTGATCTTGCTATTCTAGCAAAGATTTGGTGATGTCTTTTATATTCAATGTTGTTGAAAAAGCGAAGAAATGCAATATGCTAGATCAAATTAAGGTGCAAATTTAAGTTTTACGAGCCGGGAGAAGCTGCGTCAGATCAGACGCCGCAAAGCCGACCCATAAAAAAACATATTTCGTGAATATACAGGTCTATTATGCGGAGTCCGCAACTATAAGTGGCCAAACGGGCCGGGATAGCTGGGCCGGCCCGGTAGCACGGTCGGCACGGCACGTGCTAAATGGGCCAGGCCCGGCACGCGGCACGTCAAGGGTCGTGCCTGGGCCTGAAGGCCGAGCACGCGGGCCGGCACAGCACAACCCGATTATCTTTTTATTTTATTTTTATGTATCCTAATGTGGCCCAACATGTAAAAATAGGCTAAAAACGCCCAATGCGCAAAATAGAAGGCAAATTAGCGTGCCGATGGGCCGGCCCGATTAACATACGGGCCGTGCCTGGGCTGCAGGCTGCAGCACGCGGGCCGGCACGGCACGGCCCGTATAATAATAATGCCTTCGCAGGCTAGCCGTGCCAGGCACGATTAGGATAGGCCGTGCCGTGCCTGGCCGGACCGGCCCGACCCGTTTGGCCAGCTATATCTGCAACCGCGGCCCTGCAAAGACGTTTTTCTAAACTGCAAATACGTTTTACGGCCGTGAGGATGTGGGGCGTGCTACAGTTGCTCTTATTCGCCGTGAACCGCAGGTACGCTCCTCTTTGTGAATTGCAGAAATCAACCGCAGCAGTGAACGGGAAGCCCTAGACGCAGCCGGAGCCCGACGGATCAAAATCCCCGGGCGCCGCTAGGAAGCGTAGCCAGCCGAAATCTCTTGCCCCTGCCTCGCCACTCTGTCCTGCCCCCCGACGCTGGGATGCAGAACCCTAGCAGCAATCACCCTGCCCCGCCCGCGGCGGCTGCGGGGAAATCCAAGTCCTCGGGGCAGGCCGCGGCAGCGGCCTCGGGCCAGGGCCATCAGCCCTCCCCGGCCACGCCTGCGGCTGCCAAGTCCAAGTCCTCGGCCGCGGCAGGGGCCTCGGGCCACGGTCACAACTCCTCCCCGGCCACGCCGGCGGCCGGCAAGTCCAAGGCCTCGGCGCATGCCGCGGCGCCGGGCCAGGCGTCCTCCTCCAACCAACCGCACGCCGTTGGCGGCGCTGACGCAGCCGCATCAAGCCTTAAGCGCAAGCGCGGCGTCTTCCAGAAGGACCGTAAGGCCTTCTTCTGTTTTCTGAATTGTTAGTTTTTTCTGTTTATTTTCCCCATACTTGTGGCTCACTTCTATTCGTTTCCTTTCAGTGCAGCACATGATGTATGGCTTTGGGGACGATCCAAATGTAAGTTGACCCATGACCAATTCTCTCTCTGGTTCCCTAATTTTTTTGGTTAGGAATTATGTAGAACAGAATGCAGTCAGTGTAGTGTATTTAAGAATTCAGGATGCAATGGTCCATAAGTGGCATTTTGCAAGAAGAGTGGTAGCAAACAAGGCGTGGGTATACCATGTTACTGTAATATTTAATGGTTGAAAATTTGAAATATATTTAGAAGAGTAAAAGGGACATACCTGGAATCAGTACATATTTGCTTAGACTGTGTTTATCAATGATTTTTGGTTGTTGCTTAGCTTACACCTTTGCAATCAGACAACAGCCAATCCCTAACAAGTGTCAATGCATATGGGATAGTGGTTGCTTGCAATCTCTATTGAAAATTAAAATTATGTGTGCTGTTCATCTATGTTATGTTGAATGTGTGGAAGGAACCGCTAGTTTTTTCATCGTGAGTGGCTACTGGCCGTTTGGCCTCTCATGTTCAGGGCGAGCTGAACTGGATGCCTTTCTGTTGGGCAGGTCCTAGAGGAACCCCTAGTTTTTTGCCAGCTAGCATCTATTGCCTCTCATTTCTTTTCGGTGCTGCTGTGTGGATAGCCTGGCGGGCCTTGTAATATTTTAGTTTCACTCTTCGCATAGTAAATAAGTCAATGCTCCTACTAGAGATCTCAAAAATAAAAAAAAAAGATGGAGTAAAGGAACATGTTATTCCCCTTTTAAATCTTAGATGCTCTGGACTTACGATGCAACTGACTTTTTTTTGCTGGTTTTGCAGCCACTTCCAGAAACAGTTGCACTTGTGGAGGACATTGTTGTAGAATATGTTACTGACCTCGTAAGTTTCTCTTGCATTTGTACAGCTGTTTAATTTATGTTTGACCTGCTAAAAGAATACATACTGTTCACAGATAGAAAGGTCTTGTTGAGGATTGCGTGACCCATTTTCTGCCATTTGTACAACTATGTAGTTTATGTTTGGCCTGGTAAAAGAATACACACTATGCACAGATAGAAGGTCTTGTTGAGGATAGCATGACCCATTGAACCATTATTCATCTTTTCAGTAGAGTCCATTAAGTACACTTAGGAAGTTTTGGGTAGTTTCCTATGCAAATAGACATAATTGGGTAACTGTTTTTTCTTGATTAATAATCTGAATATGGATTGACATCTTGCACTGTACGATAGTGAGTCAATTTGATTTCAAATAAATGTATTGTACACAAATGAGTAACTCATCTACCTGCCACAACTTTCAACACAAACCATTCATGTTGAACCAAGAAATCCAGAATTGCGCCATATTTAACCAGTTATGCCAGTTTGTTTTTCAAGTTCATGGCTGTTTATAATTCCATTGTTTTTTTTAGAGTAGTTTATGGTTCCATAGCCGAGTGAATCCATGGTGTGCCTTTTCCCAGGTCCACAAGGCTCAGAATGTGGCTTCAAAGAGGGGGAAGCTCTTGACAGAGGATTTTCTTTACCTTATCCGAAAGGTATGGTCTGGACTACATGAGACTATGTTATTTCCTCTTCACTTGTATCACCAGAGTTCGCCAAAGCTAAGCATTTGCATTTCACTTTTTTTCCCTAGGATATGCGGAAACTGCACCGTGCTACCGAGCTACTCTCCATGAATGAAGAGCTCAAGCAAGCAAGGAGAGCTTTTGATGTGAATGAAGAAACACTAGTAGTAACCAATGAGTGATATATGCGTCCTTGAGCAGCATCAGAGACTACCATGTTATCTGCAATATTCCACTAACTGGTCAGACGATGCATAAGCTCACTGACATCCATTTGTATGCGGAGTACTATTACAATGTGAAGCAATCCAAACTATTCAAAAAAAAAAGAGTTTGTTTTCTGTCAAGTTGGCGTCATGTAGCACTTTCCACTGTGATGAATGGATGGTTGTACGCTTTGCTCAGTCATATTAGGCATAAAAATCTGGTTGTCATCTTTTGATATCAGGCACTGTCCGCCCTAACTCAGTACTACGCATATAATATGCGCACATTACAATCGGGAACGTTTCTAGAGGAAGTAGTATTTGTTGCATGTGTCTGATCAAGGGCAACCTTGTTAAATAGGGGCCGTCTATTTTAACAGGTGGCAGAAAAAAGGCTCAATATCCAACGGCCTAAATTCATGACGCGACTTGTTCATCTTGTTCCTCCTCCCTGCAGCTTTCCTCCTTGCCCATCCGCCTACCTCCACCCCCTGTAGTCGGCGGGCGCTACCACGCACTGGCTCGCCGCCCCCTGCCCTCCCCTCAACCAACCGCCACTGCCGTTGCTAGCCATCACGCCGGCCACCCCTCTAAGCCTCACAGCATTGGTGAAAGCCTCTGACGATCCCCTGCACCCCACCCCTAAGATAGATAATGGGGTTGTAGCTTCCCCCTACGATAAATAATGAGGCCATGGCTGCCCCCTAAGATAGATAGTCGGGTTATTCTTCTCTGGTTAGGTTGGGAAGAAGGAAAAAAGAGAAAAGTGACTGTGCAACATAAAAATTAGGCACGTGAGAAATAGCAAAACCGTATTAAATAAGGAAAATGCCTTTCGTGTTGCAATATGAGAGTTTTGTGTGTGTTTTTCGTTCATCTGTTTTTTCAAAACGTTTTATCTCACGAATTGTGAGTCCAAATCATGAACTGTTTTCACCTATTTCTCGCATCGAGATCTTTGAAACTAGATCTCAGTAGTAGGTTTTGGTGAACTTTTTTGAAACAAACCAAAAATTGAAAAATAAAATGGAGACAGAAAGGGAAAACGATATTCAAGAAAAGAAACCTAAAAATAAAATTGAAACCGTGCTTTTTCACCTTTTTAACACATTTGCGCCTTTTCACTTTTCAAGAAATACAATCATGCTCCATACTTTCTGGGAAGCACAACTGTGAGTTATAAAAAGCACAAGTGTGTTCACGTCGAAGCACGACTATGGAAAGCACATGTGCTTTCACGCCAAAGCACATTTGTGTTTTTTCATGAAACAAAATTGTGCTTTTAACTTTTGGGAAGCACAAATGTGTTTCCCGAAAAAGCACAAGTGTGCTTCACGGAGAAGCACATCTATGCTTTTCGCACGTGTGCTTCACGGGAGAAGAATAAGTACAAAAAACTTAAAAATGCCGAAAACCTAGAAAAAAAACAAGCATAATCTAAAAATTCAAAAAAAGGTGTGCAATTTTTTTTAAAAAAATCATCCCCTAGTGCGTCCAACGTGCGACTGGCCTAGGCGCATCACATGTCAACAGGGAAAACGCTCCCGGATGCTCGCGGAGTATCCCCGAAAGGGTACTTGTTAACTAGTTGGTCCCAAAAAAGAAAGGCATGCGGGCATGCGACACCAAGGCGACTTCGCATCTTCAAGCGCAGCTTGCCATGCAGGCTTAGCATAGCAGGCTTTTACAAACCCGGGGAAAATATTTGGACTGCTCGAAATCACCCAAAACCAACCCACCCAACCCAGGGAGAAACGAGACTCTCTAATCACTTGCATCTCAATTAAAAGTGAAAATATCTCTACTAAATGGGAGTTCTTTTTTTTTGAGTAATACTAAATGGGAGTTCATTGTTGTATGTTCGCTTCCATCTTTGCCCTTCCACTGTTTAGTTTTTTCTTCTGTACGTCACCCCTCCCTCCACATCATGCATTAACTATCGAATCTTACCAACAGCCCAACTAATCCAGAAAAATTCTCGTGTTCCGCTACAAAATCAAATCTTAACAAACCTCAACTAAATCGTCTTTTTTTCTTGTGTTCCTCTACTCAAACTCAAACCCAATAAAATCAAATGTTACCAAAGCCTCAATGAAATGAAAAAAAATGTGTTATCTTACCAAAATCTTCACTAAATCGAAACACTTATTGTGATTCCCTACCCATACTCAAATCAAATCCAATTTTGCCAAAACCTCATATAAATTAAAACTTTCCTTGTGTGACCATCTCAATTCGTGCAGATATCAGCTAGTCAATTCACTCGAGACTAGTGATGCCTCTAGCGTGATCAAAACACTCATCATAATGCCCGCCTAAGCACTTCATTGGGAAGATATACAAACAGGGGCAATACTCCACAAAAGTGTGATTCAACTAGCCCTATGCACTTACATGCCATCAATTGTTCAGGAAGATAATCTTGAACCAAACAAAAAAGGAAAAGAAAACTACCCAACTCATGCCCAGTCAGTGAACTGGTTAGTCCATGTGCACCTATGCCACCGAACCTCTGGGAGGCAATATGATGTCGACATTTACCCGTGGAGGTTAAGGAGACGCTGGGAAGCCGTGGACACGCCCTGCCTCTAGGGGGGATGGGAGGAACATTCGAGGACGTCGAAGCAGGGCCGAACAAGGGAGGTGATGTCACAACCTAGAGCAGAATTCAGGTGACGAGGAAAGAAGGCGTGTCCAGCTGGGACGATCTGTCGCATTCGACGGAGGCGGCACAGCCTACGCGACGTGCTACTCCATGTCACACACGGTGGAGGGAAGCGACCTCGCGAGGGTCTTGAAGCGGTGGCCGGGGTCGAGGTAGTTGAAGTGGGGGTGTCGTCTGGTGTACTACTGGGGTTGAATGGGACAAGGAACGACTGAAGTCGGGGGTCGGAGTGGCATTGGCGTGGAAGGACTCAAAGGAAGAAACCCTTCCCGCGCTAGGCTGTTCACACAGAAAGGGAGTGGACTAGGGTTTTGAAGGGACAAAAATGGTAGGGGTAGGCTGGGTTTTTTATGGGATGAAGCAGGAAGTTATTGGAGATGATTTTTTTAAATGGCATAATATATGGTAGGAGGCAAGGAATGGTCAGATGGGAAGTTAGGATCATGGTTTCAATGGTTTGTGAAATATTCGTATTTTGTTTCAAAAAAATTGGTATTTAAATTTGTTCGTATAAAATAAGAACTTTGCTACAGTTACGAGCAGTTTCTGCAGAAAGTGTTTACGAAGATAAGAGTGGTTTTTCTACACCCATCCTTGGTGCACCCATGGAAGAAAACATATTAAAACATTTTGAAAAAATCTGAAACTTTGTGCGAATGATCATTAGGAAATGTTAGAGAGGCTTGAAATTTTTCGTGGTCAAATGACATCCCAGGAGCTCTATACAAAAAAATACAAAAATACTCAAATATACGTAAATTGTTTGACCAAAATTAGTATTTTTGTTTTTTGTACAGTTTTCCTCGGATGTCATTTGACCACCAAACTTGGCAGGCCTCTCTAATATTTGTTGATGATCATTTCCATAAAGTTTCAGATTTTTTTGAAATGTTTGGTATGTTCTTTTTTGCGTGGGTGCACTGATGTGGGGTTCAACCACTACTTTCCCATCTAGGATTTATCACAATTTGAGTCCCGCAGCTAAACCTATGGGGATAGAATCAATGAGATTAGGCCAGCCAACCCTATAGCTTCCGTCCGTCAAAGGATTCCCATAAATCTAGCATTTTTTATAAAATAGGGTGGAAACCTTATTACTACATATTACTTCACATAGCCTAGTGGTCGACATAGCTCTCTACACAGCATGCGTCAAGTCTAGGGTATCAAACAAACGACATAGCTAAGGTTCAAACCTGCATTTACCATAACATATGTCAAGAACTGACCATTGGGATAGATCAATCGTTTATGTGAAACTATAGCCACAATAGCTATTTACTCAATTGTTTACATTCAAATTTAAACTATTTATGCATGTTGTATGAAAATTTGTCAAAGAAACAACCTAGCGACCCAGCTAAGATTCGAACCTGGGTCTACCATAACAGTTGGCATGAATTGACCTTTTAGTTAGATCAATCGTTTATGTGAATGTATAGCCACAATAGCTATTTATTCATTGTTTAAATTCAAATTGAATCAATTTATACAAGAACTGATTCTTGGGATAGATCAAACGTTTATGTGAAAAAATTATAGCCACAGTAACTATTTATTAAATTGTTTAAATTCAAATTGAAAAATTGTTGATTTGTATTTAATAGATTTTGAAATTTATGAATTTTCAAAAATTCCAATGGTTTCGATGGTGGTCGAAATTTTCTGGTTTCGAAATTCGAAACCTTGTTTAGGATCGGTCGTCCGATTCCTATCCCTTGCAAAAAATGGACCCCAAAATCTTGCTGACGATCACCAGGTAGGGATGTTCCAACGTATGATTCGTCCCCTGGCTCCAACATATCTGATGGACGCCAACTAAAATTTCCCTTAAAATTTACGTTAGATTTTATTTAGATTTATTGAACTTTCTGTTTTTTATGAGATCAAGCTTGAAAGTCTTGCTAAAGGTGATAGTTTTTATTTTTTTTCTGAGAAAAGTTTGAGCGATAGTTTTTTTCTTTTTTTTAGACTGCAACTCGTCTTTTTTTTTTGGAGGGCAGAGACTGCAACTTTGTGGTCACATCACTCTCCCTTGACCCTGTAGGCCCGTAACCCACAACAACTGGACCCTGGACAGGCCTCATCCAAGCCCAGACGGCCATCATATAAACTGCTCCTCGACCGCCGCCGGTTGCTCTCTCTCCGTGGCCGTCCCCGTCTCCGCTGTCGGCGCCTCGCCGGGCTAGGGTTCTTGCCACGCAGCCGCTGCCGCCGCCACTCGCGTCGGGGGGTAAGTAGGTGGACGCCACCGTAATTCTGACTGGATTATCTCTTCCGCAAGATTCCCCGTTCTTTTCTTCGGCCGCTCGGTGAGCGCGTAATCTCGCGGGGGCGTGCGCATTGCCGCGCGAGCGCACGCGGCTCGTTTCTCGGATTTCGCATCGTGCTCTCCCGTGCCGTGCGGCCGGCTTGATTCTGTTCGCGAGCTATGCGTCCTTCGGCTGCGTTTTCTTGTTCTTGGGTTTGCCGCGATCATGCATGGTCGAAACGATGAAGAGGTTGTTCTTCGCTAGAAGATTCTAGAGAGGGGCCCTTCCACCTTTTCATTTGGTAGCCTTTTGATAGGTTTGGAAAAGATTCGCGCTTGCTAGGGTTTAGCGAACTACGGCTTTGGTGCTGTTTGATTGGTGCTGCTCTCTGTTCATCTCAAACCAAAATTTAACTATTCTCGTCGTGCTATGCCGGAAAAAAATGGGTATTCGAGTTGATAATGCTGTTGGGAAGCATAATTTGATCTTCAATAGAAATTAACTCTGTGTTCTCCTTTAAATTCCAGCCCCCTTTCACCTATAGAGGGCAAATCTAGCTTATTTTGACACAATTCCGCTGCCGCCTGTATAGAAATTGCATAGAAGCGTCTTAGTTTCTGAATAGTTAGACTAATGTATACAGGTAATGATGGTGCAGCATGTTATGAAAACTTAGGTGCATTTGCATATTTAGGCATGCCCCTGTTAATCTGCTATATGCCGGTCTTGGTGCATACCTTGGATCCCCTTTTTTCCCAAAGGGATGTGCTCAATCTTCTATTGTTCCACGTATGAACTTTTGACAGTGAGTTAATAATATGCTGTTGCAAAGCATGAGATCACATTCTAGTATTGGAGTACTTTTTGTGTTATCTATTATGTTCCGCCTCCTCCTGATATATAGGAAATTGTTTATTTCAATGCGACTCCCTTGCCGTTTGTATTGAAATTTTATGGAAGCGCCTTACGTGTTAATCACTGGATATATTGACCAAATGTGTATAGGTGCATTTGCATGTTTACATGTCTTTGTTTTACAATATTTTGGCTGCATGCCTTAACGCGATCAATTTTTTCTTGCAGTTGAAGATGCCTCGCTACGATGACCGTTACGATCGCTACGATGACCGTTATGATCGTTACGACGACCGTTATGATCGCTATAATGACCGTTATGATCGGTATGACCGATATGGTGGCAACACCAAGTTGTACGTGGGCCATCTTTCTACGCACACCCGGACCAAGGATGTTGAGTACCTTTTCGGCAGATATGGGAGGTGAGGAAATTGGATCTGGTTTACGCCTTTTGTGCACCACTTGATTTAACAAGTGTTTGCGTGCAATTTGGGAACCATTTACTTGCTGCACCTGGCTTGCTCTAATTTGTGCATACTTCTTAGGCAAAGGCATATTTCCCTAGATCATGGGTCAATTTAGAACTCCGCCTATGTTGTCCCAACAACATACCCGAGCCAATGTCAAAACTCAGCCACTCTTATGGAGGTGAAACCCAAAAGAGTTGCGAGATCTTATGGGTTTCACCTCTAGCCTACCCCAGCTTGTTTGGGACTAAGGCTTTGTTGCTGTGTTGTTGTTGTATGGGTCAATTTAGGTTCCTCGGCATTGATGTAGCCTAGAGTCAAGACTACTACTGCATCACTGATAATGTAATTTTAATCCAGCTATATCAATAGGCTCTGCTAGGTTACTTTCGGTAGAGGTGTCATTTTAGCTATTAACTTGTAATTGTTTAGCTGTTTATTGGCTTACCTGTTAGTAGAGACTAGCAACTAGCAAGCTTCGGAAGTTTAAGGTTCCTTCTGTTGCGGCATAATCTGTTGATTTTGACCATTTACATAGTGCTACTGGTTGTTGCCAATTTGCCATCACATGTCAGACAAACCTTTCCAGCTTTGACTTGAATAATCTTGATGAAGGTATTGAGGGGCTATTACCTTGGTGTCAATGCTGTGAGGGTGCCTTTGGTGGAAATTGGTGTCTTGCTGCAAAGTTACAGAAGATTTTGGCGATTCTTTTGAAATATTCTGTTGCCTATTCTACGAGTAGATGTTTACTTTGTGTGATGGCTGGTGATGCACTTTTCATACCATCTTGATGGTGTTCCTGTTTTTGTCAACCATTTCTACAGAATACGATGTGTGGAGCTGAAGTATGATTATGGCTTCGTTGTAAGTAACCTCTTACACCCGTGATTTCCATGTTCTATTCCCGGAATATGTGCAGCTAATTGTCTACTTTGTTAGATTTTTCATGTTAAGCCCACCCCTATTTTTGTTTTTCTGGATCATGTTGCAGGAGTTTAGCGATCCCCGGGATGCAGATGATGCAAGGTATGAGCTTGATGGCCAAGAGATTGATGGGAGCCGTATCATTGTTGAGTTTGCAAGAGGGGTAAGCTTTTGTTGTTTATGAATGTTCTTTGCTACTGTAAACTTCACCCTGATGCCATCTACAAATGAGCCTTCGATGGACTGAAAATTCTCCTCTATGCGCAAAGTTTAATCCTTTTATTACTAGAAATTGTGCCCGCGCGTTGCAACGGGAGAAACAAATGCTTGCACGCCCCTAGCGGCCCATCCATGTTGTCACTTCTAATCTTCACTACCGTCACCTATGGTGGCCAAGTTATCAACCTATTCAACGATGGTGCGCGGCCCCAGTCTCATTTAAACTTGATGCATGCATCGTCCGGAGCAAACACCGATTATCGTGGAGCAGATCACAATGTAGTTAAACGGCTCAACAGATAATTAAGTAATACATATAAGATCAATGAAACTTTTAATTAAAGAAGGAAGTCAAGGCCCTTATGGAAGGAGACTGGATGATGAACCTTGTTAAGATTCGTGGCAGTAAAAAATGTGCTACCCACGGTAAGACTGCAGTAGGTAGGCTGTGAATTTTCGAATGTTCCTTTGAAAATTAGGAAAGTTATACAAAATGCTTGTCATAATGTGACCAGTTAATGATATTCCAAATTCCACGCAAAACACGGAACCTTTGCGAGCGCAAATAAGATCTCGACACAAGTTATGAGATTGACAGAGCGAGCAAGATGGGGTTCATGGCGGCAGATAAGCCGTACTTAGCCATCCATGATCCTGACCTCTATCTCAATGGTGTCAGCGCGAATGGGCGGAACCCCGACCGTAGTTGAAACAGGTGCCCGTCTCTAGCTCCCGCACCAGGGTTTCCTTGACGTCCAACATGATGGAGCTGGACCTGATGCACCCCAATATTTTGTCAGAAACAACTAAGTCTGTAGGTATTATATGTGTGGTTTTTTTGCGGGAAATTATATATGTTTTATAATATGCAAAAAAAAACCGCATCATGCCATGAGTTGGTCGCTATGGACGGGTGCGTGGAAGCTTGCTATCCATGTGCCAGAGCCATGAGGTGGTCGCGAGATCTTATGGGTTTCACCTCTAGCCTACCCCAACTTGTTTGGGACTAAAGGCTTTGTTGTTGTTGTTGTTGTTGCCTCTCTCCCACAAATTAATCAAGGGGTTATATTCATGCATGTTCAATGGATCGCTCTCCATCTCCTATTAATTAATTTTAATTGGCCAAGCGACCTCCCCCTCTCCGGTTAATTAATTCTAGTTGGCCAACAGGAGCGGCGTGGCATTGTGCATCAGCTGTTTTAATCGGATCATTTTCACCCACTAATTCCTCCATGAATCTTGGGTCTCTCCATTAATTCCGGATGCACCGGCCCGCTCTTTATTAATCTCGAGGCACTTATTGATTTCAGATCGCAGACATTTATAAATTGGTGACATTGTGTGCAAAGGAGCGATGTGGTACTATATAATAAATGCAAAACCTCTTTTGTTTTCACAAATATGAGTTAGGTCAGTTGGATCGACGCAAGGAAACTTGATGGCAGGTAGTGAGTTGGATCTCTTGTATCTGCAACTTTTTTGCCGGATTTGCTGACCGCCCAAGCGGGTGGGCCCATGTGCGTGAGAAAAAAAAAGGCCGAACCGTTTTTTGTCGACTTATTACTAATGGACTGCGGGTTGATACTTAGAAACATCAGGGATTTTTCTGCAAAATACACATGACGGACCAAGAATATATATTCCCTTTATTAGTAATAAAAAATAGGTCTAGGTATAGATATGCATTTTTGCAGCTACATGACTCCGATTTTCTAATTGCGGAGGATAATGATGTTTGATTACTTGTTGTACTGTTGCTGTATTCTTAATGTTGCTGTCCTCGACTTCAGTTGATAAGTCTGTGTTGCTTTTCTAGATCCCGCGTGGCCCAGGAGGTTCCCGCGAGTACTTGGGCAGAGGACCCCCTCCTGGTTCTGGCCGCTGCTTTAACTGTGGGATTGATGGGCACTGGGCTCGTGACTGCAATGCTGGCGACTGGAAAAATAAGTGCTATCGCTGTGGAGAAAAGGGCCATATAGAAAAAAACTGCCAAAACAGTCCTAAGAATCTCAAGTATTTCCTTGCACCCTTTAATGAGCTTCCTTGTGATGTTACCTTTTGTTAGTGCACATTTGATTTTTAGCTTTTGCAAATACAGGCGGGGAAGAAGCTACTCACGCTCCCCACCACCTCATCGCGAAAGGAGCCTAAGCAGGAGTTACAGGTATGAACCAATTTTTTTGCCATTATGACTGATGTTTGTGCAATCTCCAGTGCTTAACTATATGTGGTTATGCCAAGGACTAATATGTCTGGGTATACTAGTATATCTTGTTAGCATTATGATTGGATCTTGTAAATAAATAAACATACTATTATGAGAGTTACCCTACTATAGATTTGGTCAAATGCAATGGGTTTACCTTTCAGCCATGTAGTAGTAATCTCTTACCTTTCATAGTCATATATATATCTATTCATGCCTGCCACTGCTATATGTTGATATGTGATCAGTGAGTCTGTAGAGAGCAGGTATCTGGTGATAAGTTTGTGCCATATTTTGATGGATGCTGAAGATATGTATGGAAATTAAATGAATATTGTTGAGTCTGTAGAGAGCGGGTATCTGGTGATAAGTGGGTGCCATAATTTGATGGATGCTACTGATATGTGAGTGGCATAATTTGATGGATGCTACTGATATGTATGGAAATTATGTGAATATTGTGGTGGCATAGTTCAAAGAGGCACTCTCGGCAACTTTGTATAACATGAGCCTGGTGTTTTACATTCTTCTCTGCTGAGTTGCTTTCCTAGCAGTATCATTAATCATCAATGTTGTGATTTTCTTATTAACAGCCGATCGCCTTATCCAAGGAGGGATGATCGTGCTGTTGGCCACGAGGAAAGGCGACCAAGAAGCTCTAGTTACAGCCCTAGGAGGAGTGCTTCACCTTCCGGTTTGAACCGCAGCCCAGCACCAAATGGCAAGAGCCACCCACCAAGGGAGCAAGCTGAAGTCAATGGTTCACATAACGGTGTGAGAGGCAACAGCCTGAGTCCTGCCCGCGATAGCCGCCCCTGGGAGTGATGGTGAACGCTGCACACCACCCTCAACTTGAATTAATCCTGTTGCATCGTCTCTTGGGCCGAACTCTTATGTTTGTAGACTATGTTAGTATGTTTGTCGAACGTCGGTTCGCGTTATGCCTCCTCGTCTAAACCTGTCAAACCTGTCTGAGTCATGAATTTTTCATGTTTGACAAATGTTGACATGTGTTATGCCGCCTTGTCTGAATCTGAAAAAGTTTTTTGCGGTTGCAACAATGTTATGTAGACTTGGCTAGCATGATCAGTGTTTCCCAGACGTCACTAGCTAAATAATTGTTGCCCCTTAATCGTAAACTACTGTTCTACTCCCTCCGTAGGGAAATGTAAGAGCGTTTACATCACTACTTTAGGCCCTGTTTGGGAATACTAGCGTTTACATCACTACTTTAGGCCCTGTTTGGGAATACTCTGCTCCGGGAGCAGCCGGGCCGCTCCGCAAATCTGCGGAGCTGGTGAATTCCTGAACGCGGGCTTGGTGATCTATAAACACTCTTATATTTCTCTAAGAGGGAGTACCTTTTAGGCATCGTGAAAAAAAATGAATCAGGATCAGCAAGCTGCTTATGGTCTGCAAAGTGTTCCTGTACAAATTTTCTGTCAATTTTGTAAGGAATTGTTTTTGGCTGAATATTTAAGTTCATGTGTTCCAAATAGGTAGTTAACACTTCTTGAATATGCTGACAAACATCTAACAGATCATCCTTTATATAATTCAAAGAACAAAACATATATCAGAACATGAATGCAATTAAGGGCTTGTCAGCAACAACAGTACATGGTATGGACGAGCAACAGACATCTCTTTTCTCCAGGTCAACATGTTTTTACCAACTTCCTTAGTGACACAGAAACAATGCAGTCCAGTTCACCTCCCTTCAGTGTTCATCAGCTGCGAGAAGGCATCGTTGGTCGACATCTGAGAGTAATCCATGTGCGTGCGGCCTTCGTCTGCTTCGTCTGCGGTACCGATCTCCAAAGAGCCCATCCTTCTGGCGTCTGAAGGAAGTTCAGAGATCTGATTCATGCTGTCGACATTGGAGATGTCCGGGCCGGCCTCCTGCAGCTGGAGCACAAACTCCAGATTCCACAGGACATCACCCATTGTAGGGCGGTCAACGCCGTAATCCACAAGACACTTCTCGACCGTCTCACCGTACTTCCTCAATGACTCTGGCCTGATTGTCCCAGCGATCCGTTGATCGACGATCTGACCAAGCTCTCCCCTCTTCTGCCACTTGATTGCCCATTCTGCAAGGTTGATCATGTCTCTTGGAAGCGTCGGATCGATGACTGGCCTCGCACAGATCACCTCCAGCAAGACCACGCCGAATGAGTACACATCCGACTTGTCGGTCAGCTTCTGCCTCCGGTAGTACTCAGGGTCAAGATACCCGAAGCTCCCTTTCACCGCAGTGCTAACATGTGTCTGATCCAACTCAGGTCCCGTCTTCGAGAGACCGAAATCAGAAACCTTGGCCATGAGATTTTCGTCGAGGAGAATGTTTGCCGACTTGACATCACGATGGATGATCGACTTTGCAAAACCTGTGTGCAGGTAGTGGAGCCCCCTTGCAGCCCCTATGCAGATTTCCACTCTTTTCTTCCAGCTGAGGGGAGGCATGTCGCTGCCATACAGGTGACTCTTCAGCGTGCCTTTCTCCATGTACTCATACACCAAGATCATCTCGTTCTGGTCATCGCAATATCCGATGAGCGACACGAGGTGACGGTGTCGCAGCCCCGACAGCAGCTCGATCTCTGTCCGGAATTCTTTGAGCCCTTGGTGGGACTTCTGGTTGCCCCGCTTGACTGCGACTTTGGTGCTGTCCTGCAGAACTGCTTTGTATACCTTCCCAAACCCCCCAACTCCGACAACCATCTGCTCGTCGAAGTGTTTTGTTGCCACTTGCAGCAAAGCAAAAGGAATTCGGTAGCTTACATCACTGTTTGTCCCAGATGTATGAGTGGTCCGGCTGGTTGTTCGGGTACCTATGCTAAGGAAGCTAAGGCCATTGAGGGTAAGTGGTGACCAAGAACTTGAAGGTCGACTTGTCGGTGCCCGCCGCGGCTTCTTCTCCTTCTTTCTTCTGAGGACAAAGCAGAGAATAATAGCAATGCTAACAGCACCAACACCTCCGAGAACAGGGGCCAATATGATAGCCAGTTTCCTTTTTGGCGTTGCTGGTGGCCACACAACATAAATAGTGCCAGTACTGATGTTCATCTTCATGATCTCCAGGCCGTTCAAGATGCCATCTGGTGCCACATTGCTCAAGCTGGAAGGCCCAATGCCGACACTTAGCTTACCAGAAGGATTGCTTGACTTCAAGACAAATTCCGTGTAGTATGGCACAGCCAAGGTACCAAAAACTTTTTCAGAGAGGTCAAGATTTTCTAACGCTAACCCGCCATCCACATAAATATCAAAGTAGAGGGAATATGCTGCCTTGCTCACTATGTCACAAAAATGGAACCGGATCAGATAGCTCGAACGACCGTCAACATCAAATTGCCATGTCATGTTGGACGCTGGGCTGGTTCTATTTTGCACAGCCAACCGCCTTGCAGTGTTGTACACACTGTCCGGTGCATCCTCCTTGGTTGCAGCTCCTTTCTGATAATTCAGCTTCCCTTGGTAAGCAAACAGTTCAGTGGTAGTGGAATTTATGAAGAAGTTCTGGTCAGTATCCCATGAACGCGAGAGTGTGTCATTGACAACGGTCACCTCCCGTCCACCTACATTAATCCTGTAGAATGTCTGAAATGACTGCGTTGCAAGGCCAAGATACTGGCCGGAGGGATTCACAGTTTGGGCTGAATCCTGTATCAGATCATCAGGAACAGATATTACTTCAATAGCATTGATAAAAGATGTGCTGTTTCCAAGAGGCACAAATGAGAGAATCAGCATATCCTCGGTAATATTCAGCGAATACTCCCTGACCAACAGTGAGGAATTGCTCGGCGGAGTGAAATTGTCAAGTAACACAACATGCTGGGTGGACACTTTGAACTTTGCCGCGGCAAGATCATAGCTCTGGTATCTGAAACCGAAGAAGTGTAGCCGGACAAAATGCCGGCCACGGCTCTTCATGTTGAAGGAGTAGGACGACGGCACAATGAATATCCTTGCAGTTTTATACAGCACAGGATTGTCAGAACTTATGACTGCATCCGGCAAGGTGTTTGCGGGGACGCTGTGATGTGATGTCAATATAGTCGAGCCGGAATTGTCTGCTTTGAAGACCCTCCCATCGTTGAGATTAGCGTCGACCGTAGAGCCGCAGTTGATGAGGTAGTTGTCTGCAGGGGTGAATTCAGCAGCATTGCAGGTACCAAGAAGAACCCAGATGGTCCCAAGAAGGAGCAGAGCTATCTTCTGCTCGGTAGTGGTGCCCATGATGAATCCAAACAGAAACTGGGGCTACAGGACACAAGAGCCCTGAATTGCACAAAGATGCAGCCAGCCAGCAAGGAAAAAGGGGGAGCTAGAACAGCTGAAGAGAGTACAGATGATGAATCTGTTCCAGAGTCCAAGGCATGCAATCCCTCAAAACTGATGTCATCTCAGGCAGCAAGAGCACTCGGAAATTGAAGCAATAGAAAGTGTGAACAGGCTTAGATTTTCCGTGTCTTGGTCGGCAGGAGGAGGAACCACCAGAAACCTTGCTTATCAGGCAAGCAAGAACCTTATCAAGAACACCCGCAGCATCGCTCCATCCACCGCGAACTGGATCTGCACAATAGTCCCACAAAACAAAATCAGTATCGTCACCAACATGCAGGAGCCCGGAAAAACAGAATAAAATCCTTCGACTGAAATCAACCCAATCCCCCAGCTGAGACGAGGGGCGGTTACCTTTGCGGCGCAGGCCTTCCAGCGGCTGAATCGCCTCTTGCCGCCGCCCAAACAAGCAGCCTCGCCCCCGCAAGAACTTCAGACAGGCGGTTGGGGAAGCGGAGGATCCAGAGCCAGAACCAGAACCAGTCTTTTCTTGAAGCCAGCCAAGAAGAGGGACGGGCTGGTGGAGCACAGGTGGAACGGAACTGGCGGAGAAGCGGACAACGGCACGCCGCCGCTTTAACTTTTGGGCGAAGCGGACAAAGGAATGGCAATCCAAATGCTCGTCTGGATGGGGATTTTGGAAGGAGCGATGGTGATGGCGATGGTGGCCCGGAGGTTGGCGAGATTTTGAGCAGAGTCTTCTTGGGTCCGGGAGGAAGAAAGGGTCCTCGCGGGTGAGAACGGCAGGCGGGTTTGGACGTTTTCTGGCTCCTGGGGTAGGAGCGGCTCATTAATTGCGGCGGGCCCGCGGGGCAGAGGGCGGAAAGTTTGGTGGGAAGATGAATTGAAGAGGCGTTAGTGCGTGAGCGGGGCGTGGGCCCACAGGGTCGCGAGGTGTGGACGAGAAGACTGGAAACAGGATTACGAGAGGCCGCTCTGCTCCAAATGGCGGGCAGAGGCAGCTGCGTCGACGCGGTTTATGCCTTTTGGAAGTCTCGGGATACTTTTGAAAAGCATGATTCTGAAAACTTAAACAGTGTATGTAAACAAGAAAGGAGTGGAAATCATCGAAAAAAGCATTGCAGAGACCGAGCTCCACATAGCTCTTTATTTTTTTTTCAGCGAAAATACTATTTCCACATATTGAAAAAATCTGAAAAAAAGTATATAGATACATGTGTATTTGTATTATACACGTATGAAATTTCATGAACATATATGTTCTCATGTAGTGTGTACGAAAAAGATAAATACACAGATTAATATAGGCTTAATCTTTGTTGTTTTTAGGCCAAATATTTATCTTTTTTGTGTAGCACGCAAATGAATTACATGATGAAACTTTTTACCTACTTGATGAACATGCATATGTATTTGTATAAAAAATTGATATTTTTTGAAACTTTTAAGTATATTATGAATTATTCTTTTGGCAAAACGGGCTCAATGGAGCCCGGCCTCTGCAACGCTGCACT